ATTTTGTGTTTTATCCTACTCTTTGTTTGTTAAGGATCAAGCTACAGTTCTTGTCCAAGTTTCACTTAAATGAGGCTTACAACTTTGATTTCACCTGCTCCACTTCTTCACTAAAGTCCAGTCAGAAGCAACCACCCTCCACTTTACTTTCTACAAATGTTGTTATTTTTAATCAAAAAAATGATCTAGTTCTTTCGCATTCTAAGCTTGGCCACGCTGCCTTTGATGTAGTTTCTAGAGTTATGAGATCATGTAATCTTTCAGTTTCAATGAATGATAAATTTGTTTGTTGTTCTTGTCAACAAGATAAATCTCACTCTTTACCTTATTCACCTTCTGATGTTATTAACACTTGTCCACTTGATTTGGTTCACACTGTTGTGTGGGGAGCGGAATCATTCCTCGGGTTGTAATTTGGCTCTAAGTACTATGTTTGTTTGGTTGATCATTATACCAAGTACACTTGGATATATTTTCTACAACTGAAATCTGAAGTCAAGGATGCTTTCTTACACTTTAAGAACTTAGCTGAAAACTAACTCAATCACAAAATGAAGGCCACACATAGTGATTGGGGAAGAAAGTTTAGAGCCCTCACCTTAGTTTCTAATGACTCTGGCATCAACCACAAACTTTCTTGCCAATACACCCCAACTCAAAATGGTGTTGCAGAAAGGAGATATATATAGGGCTATTGGGGCCTTGTACTTTTATGCCACTATCATGTTCCTCCCAAGTTCTGGGATGATGCCTTTAGTACTGCCATATACACCTTAAACAGATTGCTTATCGAACCACTCAAGTTCTCTTCAGCTTTGGAAAATCTTTATGGTCATAAACCAAACTACTCCACCTTCAAAGTATTTGGATGCCTTTGCTACCCCAATCTCAGACCTTATAACACACACAAACTCATACCCAAGTCTTTACCTTCCACTTTCATTGTCTTCAGCTCCAAACATAAAGGTTACAAAGTCCTCTTACCATTTAGGAAAATCATTGTTACAAAAGACATCATCTTTGATGAGTCCCAGTTTCCCTTCTCCATATCTTTTCCCATTCACCCTGATAGTCATGTTATTCCCTCTTTTTTACATCAACCCACATCAATTGTTCATAGTCCTCCATCTGCATCTACCTCAACAAATCCTCCACCTACTCCACTACCACCACCACCTGACCATCCATCTCCTTACAATAGTACCCCATATTCACAAAGTTCACACTCCTCATCCTCTACTCAGTCTTCACACATTCAATCTCCACCAATCTTTCACTTCACTATACCTCTGCATGTTAAATTGCCAACAGTGAGAAACAACC